TAAAGGACAGTAGCTCTGAGAACTTGCTCCGGAACACCAGGATTTGAATCTTGAATGCTAGCTAGAGTCTCTGTTCCAACCATTGCACATTACTATCTCTAGCAATGCAACCCCCTAGCCAGAAGAATGGAGGCAGCAAGGAGCTTAGATCCTAGTAACAAGGGAGGTGACAGCTGCTTTTCATTCATATCATCAGGGAATGAATACAGCCCAGTTCTCCTGGAGTAAAAGAGAAAATCACAAACTGGTGTGAAGTATCCACCTTAAGAAATAGCTATTATTTAGGGCCAGGTATGATGGCACACACCTTTAATTTTACAGCACTCAGGAGGCAGAGACAGGCAAATCTGAGAGAATTTAAGGCTAGCCTGATCTACACAGCAAATTCTGAGCCAGCCAGGACTGCATATTAAGATGCTACAGATAGATAGATAGATAGATAGATAGATAGATAGATAGATAGATAGATAGACAATGGATAGATAGATAGATAGATAGATAGATAGATAGATAGACAGATAAATGGTGATTAAAAAAATTCCTTACCTAAAATCATTGTTTAATCCCTATGAGACCTTTATGGGTTTTATTCTTATCTCCCTCTTGTACAGGTGAAAACAAGCAACATCAACATGCCCCACAAATAAGTGGTAGGGAGAAGAGCCAGTTCTGATCTCAAGACCATAGCCCTCCCACAACATTTCTGTCTCCTAAAGGACAGTGTGTGCTGCTGACCATCGCTATGAGGCTCCCCCAAAGTTACAGGTCGAGCTAGTGTCTGGAGCTCTGCCCATCTGGGCTTTGGAACCTTAAAAGGCCTTTTAACCTCAGAAAGCCTGTAGCAACTGGCTTCTGCTTTGGGCAGCTCTGCAACTCAGTATCATTTCTTTTCGCTGCCCCATCTTGGCACCAGGTTGCAAGACAATTGATTGGAAAGTGAGTCTCAGCTTATTCTAGTCCTGTCCGTGGTGCAGTGTCCCTTTCTATATTTAGATAAATGCTTTGCACAGCCAAGGAGGCAAAAAAAAAAAAAAAAAAAAAAAAAAAGCAAGCTACAAAGGTAGCAGGCTGGTGCCAGGACACAGGAAAGGGCTGTGAGCTCTCGTGTTTTGCCCAAAGAACGATGATTCTGAAACAATGCAAGGCAATAATAACAAGCTCTATCAGCAAACACAATGGTGTGTTTGGGGTCTGGAGCATCTCATAATTGTGGGCAGGTGACAGAGGCTGGGTGTAATGGGACCCTGTTCTCTCTATGTGAATCGGGCTAGACTCCATTGAACAACTTGTAAAGTCAGTGACGAGCATGGATAGGGTGTGGTGGGCAGCCTGAGGCACCATCTGCATGCCCAATGTGTCACCTACTCAACCACAGGCCAAATTTGAACCTTGATGTTTGAGAAAGACAAAAACAAGTGTGAAGTGTGAGACAGAAAAGCCGAGCTTCACGCGTTAGTTTGAGGGCTCCGTGAACAGTCCTATTGAGAACCCCTGCTCTGGACTCCCGGGGAGTGCTGCAATCTCTCCACTATTTACAGCAATGTGTGTTTCAATTAACTTCATCCACTGCGGTTGCCTGTACTTCTGTACTCTTTTCTCCTAAACGCTAAAGTGCTCGAGGGCAGAAATCATTGCCTGTCTGTTTCATAACCTCTCTACACGCTAGATTGCTATCAGATAGATGGAACTATTTCAATGAACCCCACGTTACTCAGACCCGGTGGCAACTACATCGTCTACAGACTGAAGCTAGAAAGTAGTTTGCTTTTCCAATCCTGGGAAGCATCAAATTTCTGAACTCTGCCCAGCCCCTTTTATTTCTGCAGTAATACAAAGCAATCCTTGCCTGAGCACATCTCTGCCTGTTACCCCTTGTCTCGTCGATAACAACCAATCTCTTCTTTGGAGATGACAGCTTATCAAGCACTTGGCCTTGCCTTTTCAATTATCACCAGCAGCAGATTCACCCAAAGCTCTGCCACCCCCCGCCCCACCCCTACAGGTCCCCATTCCCCAACCTTTCATCTCAGTGCCTGTGCTGCCTCCAACTGCCAGTTTCTAAATTTACCCAGTAATTAACACTAGCTGTTTAGATAAATAAAATTTCAAGACCCAACTCAAATTCAGCTTGATTCTTCCTTACAAAATGTGGGTATTCCTGGGTGATGGGCATCTGTCTTCTGCGTTCTGAGTTAGGGACCCTGGGAACCTATGCATCTTTCAGTGCTACCATCTTCTAGAATCTCCTCGGGTTCTTCATCCATCCAACAGAAGGAGAAAAGGGCAGTGGAGATGGCAGGTTATCATCGAAAGTTTGACCCAGGTTATCTAAAGTTCTAATGCTGTGATGGACAGCATCCACCACCCAGGTGTCCATCACGTCATCTATCCAGACCCAGATGTAAGGAAACAGCCATGGCTGCCACAAAGTTTAATAATTACCGCTGGAATATCTTGCATATTTTCACACTGCAAGTTGTCTATAGTATTTCATATAACAACCCTGAAAGACTAAAAACTACATAAATGTATATATCAGTCTCTGAGCCTTGGTGACTATAAATACTATATAATGTTGGATTACAGAGAGAGAGAGAGAGAGAGAGAGAGAGAGAGAGAGAGAGAGAGAGCTCAGAGGGCACACAGCTTGCTCTAAGGTATACAAGGTAACGGCGGTCAGGATGTAAACCCACGCCCACCTCACTTCTAAGCCCTTTCCCTCTCTTTGCTCCTCAGAGCAAGAGATACACAGCTACACGTACTTTGAGACTGGTACTCGGGAAGGATTACGTAGTTACTCCAGCTGGATTTTAAAAGTAAGGCTCTAACCAGCCAGAGTGACACTGAAGTTAGGAAGTGAGTTTGCTAGTTAGAGATCTACATGCAAAGGTACTGAGGCCTGAAGAGGCACAGTAGTCTTGAAAGACTCATGGAAGACAGGATCGTGATGCTTAGATGCCATTAACACGAAGGTATTGGTAATATCTAAATCATGTCCTAAATCTCAGCTAGATCTCTCTCCAAAATTTTCCCAAGGAAGCCATATACCTACAGAAGAGTAAACAATGAAAAAGGAAGCCAATGTCCCATTCCATCGAAGCTTGGCTCCTGCCCTGGTTTGCACACTCTGGAACATACTGGACATTTGATTGTGATTGTGGGGATGGAGCTTTTAAGAGGAATAAATACTTTTCTCTCGGGCCTGACTGACCTTTCAAGGCAGTGAGGTCTCCCTCTTGAAGACTATATCAGTTGTAGTGAAAGCAGACTTCTACATCAACCCCCTCCCCTCTGTTCCAGGATACACTCATCAGAAGCCGAAGAGATGCTGACACTGTGGTTGTGTGTGTGTGTGTGTGTGTGTGTGTGTGTGTGTGTGTGTGTAGGCCCACAAAGGTTTCCTAGTGAGATCTGAGCTTGCTTCACCCAGCAGGGCTGCATTAGAGGATTGTTTGACCACGTGTGTGGTTACTAGGTGGCTGGAAGGGTTTGCATTTAGCTGTGGTGGGGGAGGTCTTTTGCTCCACCCCTTGGCATTCATATAAAAAGCCCTTTAGAAGAGACAAAAGGGGCCAGTGGATAATGATCCAGGCCCTCCCAAGGCTATCCTGTGTTTCTGTCTCTCTCCCCTCTATATTTCTATCTAAATCTCTTATCCCTCACTCCTCGAGAGTACCCTAGGGGAAAAGTGGGAGCTAGTCTCCCACACATGAGCCAAGATTAACCTCTTCTGTCTGTAAGATACCCAGTCTCAGACAGCAGAGGGGGCTAAGTCAGGCCCCTGACTCAGAGAGGCCCTGGAGCCTGACAGAAGCACTGGGAACGAGCATGGAGACTTTTAGTGAGAACATCATTCCCACCACCTGCCCAAATCCAACACCAAGATCTCCCCAGTCTTCCCGTGCTGTAAGAAAGAGCAAATGGATGAGAAGACCCGGAGATACAACCGCAGGGCAGAAGGCTGTCTGGACATGCCCTAAGCAGGAAGGTCTGCTTCCCCCAGTCGGACCACATGGGAGCAGAAGGAAGGGTCTATGGACGGCTTCTGCAGCAAACACGCAGCCAGTGCAGGAGAGAATTCATCTTTGCATGTGGTCTTTGGTTTACATCGACTCTACAGTGGTGTTCTATCTTCTCACAGCTGAGACAGACTCCTGACATCAGCAACAGAGGGTAGGAACAGTTTGCGTTGGCTCACGGCCCATGGCAGCCAGGCATATTGAGGGGAGACTCAAGAAGCAGACAGAGGCAGTTGGAACCAGGGCCTAGGCTCTTCCTTCAAAGGCCAACCATTAGTTAACAACTACCGCCAAGGCCCTGCATCCTACAGGCTCCCTGACATCCCATAGCAGCGCCATCGGCTGGGGCACAAAAGCTGCCCTGCGGACAGTTCACATTCAAATCACATGATTGGATGTTCACTAGTGAACATACAGTAGTAATCACCCATCTTACGAGCATCTTGAAACCCTCGTCTCCCAAGAGAATACCTCTAGAGCCAGATGACATCATCTCTTCATCCTCCTGCCAGAATCCCTTCAGGCTATTTTATATTCTGTGTGCCCACGTCAAGCCTTATTCTACCAATGGTCTACTCCGTGGCTGTAATGGATCAGTGTCTTCGACATTTCCATAAAAATGGAAGCTACATCGTACGGACACTTCAGGCTCTTACTTCTTCTCTTCTTCAGCAGAATATGTTATTATTTGTATATCTGTAGATTGTTCTTTTTGTTGTCTATGGTACGGCATTTTATGGCTATACCATTCATTCCTTGTTCGCCCTCTCTCGTACTGATGGACATTCAAGTTGCTTCTAATTTCCACCAATATGAATAAAATTGCAAGGAACTTTGCGTATGGCCTATGTATGTATGTATATAGGTGTGATGGCTATTCTTGGTAAGTTGATTACATCTGGAATTAAGTAAAATTCAAGGGGCTGGGTACACCTGTGAGGGATTTTTCCTAATTAAATTATCTGAAGTAGGAAGACTCACCTTTAGTCTGGCTCTTTTGAGATGAGAAGATCACCTTCATCTGGACCACACCTTCTGCTGGCAGTCTATACACAGAACATGGAAGAAGGAACCTACTTCTTTGGGATTCTGGAGTATGCTGAAGGCCAGCTGAGGCATCCGCCCTCATGGATTGGACAACTCCTGGATTCTTGGACCTTCTGTTGGTAAACAATCATGGTTGGACTAGCTGAACCACAGCCTGTAAGCCACTCCAATAAATCCCCTTTTTAGAGAGAGAGAGAGAGAGATTCATTCCATCAGTTCTGTTCCTCAAGAGCAGTGGTTCTCAACCTTCCTAATGTTGTGACACTTTAATACAGGTCCTTGTGTTGTGGTGACCCCCAATCATGAAAATATTTCGTTGCTACCTCATAACTGTAATTCTGCTACTGTCATGAATTGACATGTAAGCATCTGACATGCAGGATATCTGATATGTGACCCCCAAAGGGGTTGTGACCCACAGGTTGAAATCCACCGCTCTAGAGTACCCTGACTAACACTAACACAGTATATATTTTGTATATGTGGTGTGTGTGTACATATGTATGTGTGTATGGGGGCATATGGACAGCTGTATCCTCACACTCGTGAAGGCCGGAAGAGAACACTGTGACCTTCTATAGCACTCTCTGCTTTTTCACTTTGAGACAGCAACTCTTGCTGAACGTGAAGCTAGGCTGGTGGCCAGGAATCCTTAGCAACCCTCCTGTCCCTGCCCATCACAACACTAGGGTTACAAGAACACATGACTATGCCTGACTTTTTATGTGGATGCTGGGGATTTGAACTCAGATCCTCATGTTGGCACAGCAAGTGCTTTTGCGCAGAGTCATTGCCCAGCCCTGTGCAAGTTCTTTTTTGTGTGTGAACATTGTGAAATATTTGTAGTGAGCAGAAAGCCATCAAGCACAGTTCAGTGTCCTAGACTGTCACTACATAGAATCTATAGCATATGCATTATGAAGCATATATTATCTAGCATATGGAATCTATAGCATATACAATATGAAGCATATATTATCTATAACATATAGCATATATAGCTTATTGAACATGTAGCATATAGTATCTGTAGCATGGAGAATCTGTAGTAGCTTTGCCCTAAAGATTGGGAGAAGGAGGAGGTACACTGAGCACTGTAACAGTCACAGGGAGTGCCCAGGATGTCCATTCACTCCATACATTTCCCCCTCCTCTTTCTGTCTCCACACCCCCCAAACACACACTTGCTTCCTCCTTAAATTCAGTGTTTCTTTTGATTGCACTTTGAGCACTGAAAACACTTTAAAGATTTATTGATTTTCATTTTATGTGTTTGAGTATATTGCTCGCATGAGTGCTGACTGCAGAGATCAGAACATCAGCTCCCCTGTGAGTGCTGGGAACCGAACCTGGGTCCTCTGCAAGAACAGCAGGAGCTCATAACCGCTGAGCCATCTCTCCAGAGTCTGGAGTCCAGACCAAGAAAAGCTTTCCTTCATCCAGAGTCAGAACAGCTTCAGGAAAGACTGACATTCCATTCTGCTTTTAAATAGGGAATTTACTTGAAATAATCTGGCAGCGCCATAGAGAAGTCACCTCAGAGAATGGCAGATTGTAGGAAATCACCAAAACTGTGGGCCTCATCGGCCAGGGGAACACTCCATCTTCCACACTGTCACTGTTTTAGACCCAAAGTGAAGGGTCTCAGTATGTCACACAGCTCTGCCTACCTTCTAGACATGAAAGGAACCAACAAGTAGGGCCTGACTCATTACATTTTTTCAAGAATAAAAACAAATAGGCAAGAAAACAAAACCCAATCCAATGAACATTGGTGGTGAGTCAGGGGACATATGGAAAAAAGACACACTGCATAAGACACACTGGCTGACATGGGTAAAACAGCCTGACAAGAAATCCTCCCCTCCCCTCCTGTCTCCCCTCTCCTCCCCTCTTCTCCCCTCCTCTCTTCTCTCCCCTCCCCTCCTCTCCCCTCCTCTCTCCTCCCCACTCCTCTCCCCTCTCTCTTTCCTACCTCCTTACTCTCTCCCTGAGTGATGTAGACTCAAACTGCCCCATGAAAGGGCCCACATGGCAAAGAACTGAGCGGCCAGCAGCCCTGCAAGGGAGCCATCTTGGAAGTGGATTCTCCTGCTCCAGTTGGGTCGACAGATGATAACAGCCGACATCTTCATTGCTGTGCCGTAGAAAATCCCAAGTCAGAACCATGTTCTTAAACTGCCCATATTTCTGAACCACAGAAACACTAAGATATTGTTTTCAGATGCTGAAACTGGGGAAATGTGTTATACATTAGATAACTATAACACATCCATGACCTCCATATACCTCCACCTTCATCTGAGGCTATGTAAAGAGAAAATACAGGCTAGCAAGAGTGCAAACACATTTCTTTTTCCTGCCTAAATACCAAGATCTGCCATAAAAGCGTATCCTCTATGAAGCTTTTCCTAACAGCTCCTATCCAATTACCAAGAGGCTATAAAATTACTTTATTTAGAGCTGTTAAGACTTTGGAACTCAGTGAATTAACCAGAATAAGTGTCTCTTGGTTTTTCTTAGCTTGCCAAAACATCTTAGTTTAAATGTAAAAGTGGTCAGTGTGCATGAAATATTTTGAGATAGTCAAAAAGGAACACTAAGTCACCTGATATTTGGTTTCACTGAAAAAAAAATGACATTTTAATCTCCCTTATTTCCAGACTTCATATCTAGATCAAATTATTCTTCATATGCAGTTTTACATCCTCCTTTTATTATGCAGTGACCCCGTCTCTCAGGTCCTGACCTCTTGGCTTCAGCTACTGACTCCCAGGTCCAATTCTAGTCTAAACTGCTTCTTAGTCAAAGAGCGTTCCGTGAACCTATGGTACCAGTATCGTCTGAGAACTCTTCAGAAGTGCAGAGCCTCGGATCCTCTCACACACTTACCACAGGACATTTGCACTGGCCCTCCCCTGGACGATAAGGACAGCCCTTCAGTTATCTGCATGAACCATCCTCAATTGCGTCTTCATTTCTGCTCAGATGGTTCCTGCACAGAAAAGCCATTTCTAACCAACCAAACTAAAGTTGCATACCTATCATGTTCTATCCCTGTATTAGTCAGGCTTCTCTAGAATAACAGAACTTGTAGAATGAATGAATATATATATATATATATATATATATATATATATATATATATATATATATAGAGAGAGAGAGAGAGAGAGAGAGAGAGAGAGAGAGAGAGAGGAGGGGGGGATTTATTAGAATGACTTACGCCTAATCCCGTAGTGCTGTTTATGAACAAAAGGTCCAAGAACCTAATAGTTTCCGATGAGGCTGGATGTCTACACTGGTCTTCAGCATATACTGGAATCCCAAAGAAGTAGGTTCTAGTGTCAGTGAAGAAATGGACTTGCTAGAGAGGTGAGAGCAAGCTGGCAAAGAGCAAAAGCTTCCTTCTTCCATGTCCTTATGCAGGCTTCCAGTAGGAGGTGTGGCCCAGACTCGAGGTGGGTCTTCCCACCTCCAAGATACAGATTCGAAGTGGATCCTCCCACTTCAAATTAAGCAAAAAATCCCTCTCAGGTTTACCCTTCAATTTGGGGGTTTTATTAATTCTAGATATAGTCATGTTGACAACCAAGAATAGCCATCAAAATTCCCTATCACACCACTTTTTTTTTAAAACAATCTGACATTGTTTTATATAATCATTTTCTAAAATTTCCTTTCAGAAATGTTTATGTAACAGCTGCTGTGGGTTAGGCACTAAGTTCTGAGGACACAGTGGGAAACAGCAAAGTCTCTCAATCTCTGTATTAGAGCATACAAATACAACTTGCTAGTATTCATTAAAAAACAAACAAACAAACAAACAAAAAACACTAGCTATTTCTTCAGGAAAAGGCTCAAATCCCGTCGAGTGCAGAAGGCACCAGGCCAGGTCCCAGGACTTGAACACTCCACCTTCTCACTGGGAAAGGTGTTATCAATGTGCTTTGGTGCTAGGCTGGCCTACTTAAGCCCAGGTGGTTTTAATCCTAACAAATTGCCCGGACAGTCTTCCTACATGGACAATGTCTCTGACATCATGCGCACACCCACTTTCCTGGCTGGCGTTTGGCCGGCTCTCGTGCCATTAGCTGAATTCCCAAGCTTCCCCACTATGAGACCACGCTGTTTGTGTCGCTGTCAGCAACGCGTGACGGCAGCAGCAATAACAGCCACAAAGTCAGACTTGAGAAAAACCTTCTTGGAGCAATGTGTTGGGGTCCATTTTCTATCTCTTTATGTACCTTTGCTGTGGTCTGTTTTGTCCAATCAAAGTCCAGGCGGAAATTCATGCCTACGTGAGGAGGGTCTTGGGAGGTAAGACCTTGAAGAAACAGCAATATTTGTGGCTATAATGGATGCTACTGGGAAAGGATATTTGGATACTTCTTGGTCTCTCTTGTCCCTGTGCCTTCTACCATGGAATGACGCAGCATGAATGACATTAGCTTCTTCATCGTGGCCCTCTCAATGCACAATGAACACATGGTGATATATATATTGTGTATTGGTTTTTTGAGACAGGGTTTCTCTGTGTAGCTTTGGAGCCTTTCCTGGAACTCCCTCTGTAGACCAGGTTGGCCTGGAAACTACACAGATCTGCCTGCCTCTGCCTCCCGAGTGCTGAGATTAAAGGCATGTGCCACCACTGCCCAGCTGTTCCCCAATATATTGTACACCCTAATAAACTTATCTGGGGATCAGAGGAGAGAGCCAGCCACTAGATTAGATGTAGAGGCCAGACAGTGGTGGCACACACCCTTAATCTTATCACTCGGGAGACAGAGAGTTCAAGGCCACACTGGAAACAGCCAGGCATGGTGACACATGCCTTTAATCCCAGGAAGTGATGGCAGGAAGCAGAAAGGTATATAAGGCATGAGGACCAGGAACTAGAGGCTTTTAAGCAATTTAACTAAGAATCTTTTGGGAGAGGACTCAGAGGCTCTTGGGCTGAGGATTTCCTAGAAGACTTTTAAGAAGTTCAGCTGAGATCCCTTCCAGGTGAGGACTCAGAGGCTTCCAGTCTGAGGAAACAGGATCAGCTGAAAAGTTGACGAGGTGAGGTTGGCTGTGGCTTGTTCCATCTCTCTGATCTTTCAGCTTTAACCCCAATACCTGGCTTCGAGGGCTTTGTTTTTGTTTGTTTGTTTAATTAATAAGACCTTCTAAGATTCGTGTTGCAAACACACATCCATTCTAATTATCCACTCTCAAGTCACAGTAACACAGCTGTTGCCCTACCCTACTTCACAGCTAGATTCCTTTCTTTGGAGGAGCTGGCTTGCAGTCAGTTGTGTATTCCCTCTGAAAGTGGCACTTTATATGTGATCAGGAAGTCCCTGGAGATCGCAAGGGAAGGGAACATGAACATTTATTATATATCAGTCTTTCTCCTCAGCAACCATTTCATTATGTGAAGAAACACCACTCTGGAAAGGTATGGTATGTCCTTCCTTTTACAGATGAGAAACTGAGGCTCAGGAACATTATCTAACTGCCCAGCCTGGTGGATGGCCTGAAACCAAAATTACCTTTCAAGCTTCCTTGGCTTTAGAGCTTCAAAGAAGCATGACCTCCATAGAAATTTAGAAGGATTAAAAAAAAAACAACAACAACATGAGTGCAGATAGAACGAGGTAACAGAAAAATGATGGATAGAAGAGGTGTGTTGCAAGACCCTTCAGCCATAGTTTACCACATTCATGACTATAAGACATCTCAAATCACATCTGCGCCTACCCCTTCAGTTTATAGAAGTCTGCTATCAAGGACAAGGATGAATAATATTCATTTGTATATAAATGACTGAGAGTCTATTACCTACGAAAAGCAAACCTATGTAATTATAGTTACAAGAGCCAAACTACCCAACAGACTTACTTGACATGGGAGAAAAGATGAGCAATTTTTCACACAGTTTTCAAACCCTTAGCATCCACATCTGTGGTCAACAAAAGTCCCCCATCATAATTATTAATTATGCAGGAGATATTACCATTCCTAAGGAATTTCTAAATTTAGTATCAGCCTCATGTCTTCACACAATCCAAATTGTTGGATAAATACAAGTTTCATCGTAAGAAGGGATATGTAATCAAATAGTGAGTTTAGCAGGCACATGTATTTTATATATATATATTTTTTTCATTTCTCAGAACTACTAGGCATGGGATCTCACAGCAAAAAGCATGTTTACAAAGGAGAACAGCTTGGGGTATGCTCTCTTTTGCTCATGGCTCAAGGAACATGGGGCTCCATTTTTTTTTCTTTATGCAAAGTGGAAAGACCAGACAGGTCCTTGCTCTATCCTTTGAAGAGCAGGGATGGAACTGGGTGAGAAGTAGTCAAGTTGTGGATATTTGGATGCAATAAAATAACATGTCTGTCCACGCCCAGCCTTTAAAATCCGGTGCCATGTTCCCGGTTCCTTCTTCTTCTTCTTCCTCCTTCTTCTCCACACACGTGTTTCCTGCAGGCCTGTTCACTCTCTGTCCCTTTACCTTTAATAAAACTCTTGTTAGCGGAAAAAAAAAAAAATAACATGTCTGAGTGCTTACTCTGTGTTAAGTACCATCAGGTAGAACATCACATGTTAAATAAGAGAGAATGTATATTCTCAAGATCAAAAGTTTCTTGTAAAAATAAATATGCATGTCAGTGGTAATTAACACCTTCTGTCTGCAAACACAGCAGGTTAATATTTTGAGGTATTAAATGATGTTTTCCCTGCTCGGTGATTCTTGTTACCTGTGACCCTTCTGTGAAGCATTTTTTTTTTTTGGCATACTGCCTTACGGGTGGATTATGCTATGGAACAAAAGATGTAAATTCTTGGCTTTTGATTTTCAAAATCTGAAATCTTGGCAAAAACATTATGTTTGGAAAGAAAATAGAGCCAAACTAGCCAAAGTCAATTTTCCTTTCCCTCTCCTAAGGTAATTGGAAAGAAGGGAGAAAAAAGAGACTGGAAGGGAGAAGAAAAACAGAGGAGAGCCTCGAATGGGCCGCTGAGCGGACACTGCTCTGTCTCTCCACCCTGACCTGGTCTGTCGAGTTCCTGGTCCAGAAGAGAGACAATAGACACGCAGGGAAATGAGGAAATATGAAAGAACTCTGTGGCCAGCATGGCCCCGGTGCATACCTCCTGCTATTTCCTCCAGGCTGGGCACCACCTCCACAGACAAGGCTCCCTAGGCTCTTTGCCTGTGAGTTGTGGTGCCAGTGGAGAGCACACATCCGCTAAAATTATCTAGATGGAGAAGGGGCCAAATGGCCGCAGAGTTCCTCACATGACCATGGAAATAAGAAACAAAGCCAAGTGTTTCCTTGGGGCCCAAAAGAAATGACTGAGCGAGACCCAGATCTGGAAGCCCTTGTTGTCGGGGGATTGGGAGGAGTCAGGGTGACTTACAGGGAGAGGGCGCTCGATCGAGGACCTTGTTCCCTTTCACTGGCTGATGCCAATGTGGCTGATGAGAACCCCCAAGGAGTGATGTCTACCCCCAAGTTTCTTCCCATCCCATGCCAATGGGTCCCCAAGTCTCCCTGGGTCTCTACAAATACTCCAGGTTCACAGTCCCACACAGATGATTATTCATCCTGGAAGAGAAGCCACTAGGTTCCTCAGGGATCCAGCCCATCCATGCACTCACTAGTAACCAGCTTCCTGCAGAAAGTCTCTCGGGGATCACCTAGGTCTCCTGCAATGTAGGCCTGGGGCTTGCTTTCTTCATTCTTTTTTTTTTTGGTTTTTCAAGACAGGGTTTCTCTGTGTAGCTTTGCACCTGTCCTGGAACTCACCCTGTAGCCCAGGCTGGCCTTGAACTCACAGAGATCCGCCTGGCTCTGCCTCCCGAGTGCTGGGATTAAAGGCGTGCGCCACCACCGCCCGGCGCTTTCTTCATTCTTAGGAAGCAAAAGCTCAGGCTAATAAACAGTATGGAACCTCATGGAACCACATGGAACCCAGGCTCCTAACACATAAGGGACAGAACCTGAGCAGCGGAGTCCAGGAGGTTGTTGCCCTAACTTGCCTCTCCTCTGCATTTGCCCAGAGCAGTTTTCCACTTGAGCGGATTTTAGTGCCTTTTCCCCTTACAGTGTTCTCTCATTACTTCCCCCATAGCAACCCCCCTCCGGTTTCCACAGCCCGTCAGTTATTAAATACACCTCGCTGCTATCTCTCCTCTTCTAATCCATATCTACAGGTCTCTTCTCCCAGTCCTGGAACATGGTACAATTTCCCCTCCCTTTAGTTGATCATGGCCAACCACTGAACTTGCTTTGGCCAATGAAAGAATATAGAGGAATTAAACTGTAGTTTGTGACAGGTCAGTATTTTCTTCTTCCTGTCACTGGAACTGGTGCATTCCAGAAGGAGGAGGTTCTATCAGCAGTGGGTTCCCGGCCAATGTGCAATGTGAGCTTATGCACATTACGTGGGGACATGTAATGAGAGCAAAGTATTTGTTAAACAAAGTCATTTGCTACCGCTACCATATCATATTCTAGCCCATCCTGAGAAATGACCTGGGAGTCTGCTGGAACTCAGGCTCTTATACAGCTCCTCTGAATTCTCAACACATGCTACTGCCAACCAGTGCTGGTCTCCACAGAGTAAGTGCAGCCACTAAGGGTGAGCATTTGAGGCCTCTTACATCCAACTGATTAAATGTGAAGACTAATCAGAAAATATGTAGACCTGCTCTCCAAAATGTCATATGTAGTATTGTGTCTTATCCAGGAGAGACCTACAAAAGTATTTGTCAGACAAAACTGAGTCCTAACTTCAAGGCTAGGAAGTAGAATTACAGTATGATTGTGAGCAATAGCAAATAGATAAAGGACATACTTGTTGAAGTCAATTCTATGCCCGAGTCCACTCTGCCCACACGAACTCCAGCTCCAATGAGTGGAGACGTTCTCTAAGCTCTTTGCCTACTCTTAAATTTTGTTTTAAGTTTATCTGTGGAAGAGCATGGACATGAATGTATTTATTCTCTGAAATAAAACTGTAAATATAGTGCCATAAGTACAATTTTAAGAGTTATCTACACACAGCTTGACATGTTGATACATTTATTCAAGAGGATGAGAGGAGAATTTGACTGATGCTTAAATCACTCCCCGCCTCCCTCCTGGACTGTCTTTCCTCACAAGGCTCTTTGACACACACCACTGTGTTTCTGTGCATCACTGAGGAGAGAAGCAGCCTGGTAACCTGCAATGAAAAGTGAGGCAGATCCTGAGAGACCTGGCTATTACCCGATTGACCCACCCATCGCTTGCTACCACAGGAAGTCACTACTTAACTACTTATGTGCTAATTTTTCTCCACCTTCGGAGCACAGCCCAATAATAATAATAATAATAGCAACAACTAAATAACATCAGCTTTATTGTGAGAATCAGGATGAGGGCCGAGAGGTACTTAGTGGATACAGCACAGCACATTTACAAGTTAGAAGGTATGTTACCCTTCCTTAGTGTGCTCTCAATTTACTTCATACATAGGTTTTTCTCCTTTCTAGAAGACAATAAACTCCTTGAAAAATGCATTCCCATGTCTCTCTTTTTTTAACTGTTATTCTTCTCTCATACATGACATCCCCACCAGAGTTTCTCCTCCCTCTGCTCTTCCCAGTCCCTCCCCCACTTCCCAACTCCCTAGATCAGTTCCTTTTGTTTCCCGTGGTGGAGGGGCAGCCCTCCCAGGGATATCCACAGGACACAACATAACAAGTTACAATAAGACTGGGCACAAACCTTCACATCACGGCTGGACATGGCAACCCAGTAGGAGGAAAAGGATCCCAAGCACAGGCAAAGGAGTCAGAGACATCCCCGACTTTCATTGTTGGGAGTCCCGCAAGAACACCAGGCTACACACCCATAAGGTATATGCAGAGGACCTAGCTCAGACCCAAACAGGGTCCATGCTTGTCACTTCAGTTTCTGTGAGCCCCTATGAATCCTGCTTAGTAGATCCTGTGGGCCTTGTTCTCCTGGTGTCCTCTACCCCTCTGGTTCAATCCTTCCTCTCCCTATTCTGCAGGGTTCCCCTTGCTTCACCTAGTGTTTGGCTGTAGGTCTCTGCATCTGCTCCCATCAGTTTCTGGATGATGCCCCTCTGATGACAACTGGGCTAGGCACCGATCTATGAGTATAGCAGAATATCCTTAGGAATCATTTCAATGACTCCCCCCGCTTCACCCCCAGCCCTATTTGGTTCTATCCTGGGTCTCTGGGCTGTCCTGCCTCTGGTTCCTGGCCATCCAGGCCATGTTAGGCATGGGCTCCCTCTTGTGGCATGGGCCTCAAGTTGGACTAGTCCACTCCCACAAGTTCTGTGCCACCACTGTCCCAGCACGTCTTGCAGGCAAGACAGACTATAGGTTGAAGGTTTTGTGGCTGGGTTGATGTCCCAGGCTCACTGCTGGGAGCCTTGCCTGGTTAAAGAAGATGACCAGTTCGGGCTCTGTATCCCCATTTCTAGGAGACTTCTCTAAGGTCACACTTGTAGATTCTAGGGGGTTTCCACTACACTAGGTTTCTACATTTCTCCCCTCCAAATAACCCTCAATCCCAGTCAATTCTCCCAGTACTTTCTCCTGTCCCCCAGCAGATCCCCCTGTTCCCATCCCCACCTACCCCTAGTTTACCCACAAAATCTTTTCTATTTCCCCTTCCCAGGGAAATCCATGCATTCCTCCGACACCCTGAGTCCTCCTTGTGACTTAGCCTCTCTGGGCCCATGGATGGTAGCATGATCGTCCTCTACTTAACAGTTAATGTCCACTTATAAGTGAGTACATACCATGTTTGTCTTTCTGAGTCTGAGTTATTTCACCCAGGATGATTTTTTTTTCTAGTTCTATCAATTTGCCTGCAAATTTCATGATGTTATTTTTTTTAACAGCTGAATAGCACTCCATTGTATAAATGTACTACAATTTCTTTAACCATTTTTATGTTGAGGGATATCTAGGTTGTTTCCAGTTTCTGGCTATTATGACTAAAGTATGTGTGAACATGGTTGAGCAAGTGTCCTTAGAGTACGATGGCGAGTCCTCTGAGTATATGCTCAAGAGTTGTACAGCTGGGTCTTAGGGCAAATCAATTCCCCGTTTTCTGAGGAACCACCACATTGATTTCCATAATGCCTAGTTTGCATTCCCACCAGCGATGGAAGGAGTGTTCCTCTTGCTCCACATCCTTGCCTGTATGAAACGTCACTTGTGTTTTTGATCTTAGCCATTCTGACAGGTGTAAGATGGAATCTCAACGTAGTTTTGATTTGCAGTCCCCTGATGGCTAAGGATGTTGAACATTGTTTTGTTTCTCAGTCATTTGAGATTCCTCTGTTGAGAATTCTCTGTTTAGAGCTGTACTCCATTTTTAATTGGATTATTTGGTTTATTATGTCTAGTTTCTTGAGTTCTTTATATATTTTGGATACTGGCCCTCTGTCTGATGTAGGGTTGGTGAAAATCTTCCCCTATTCTGTGGGCTGCCTTCTTGTGTCTCTGCCTTACAGAAGCTTCTCAGTTTCATGAGGTCCCATTTATTGATCGTTGTTCTCAGTGCCTGTGCTGTTGGTGTTCTGTTCAGGAAGCTGTCTCCTGTGCCAATGAGCTCAAGGCTCTTCCCCACTTTCTCTTCTATTGGGTTCAGTGTATCTGGTTTTATGTTGATGTCTTTGGTCCACTTGGACTTGAGTTTTTTTTTGTTTTGTTTTGTTTTGTTTTTTTTTTTTGGTTTTTCGAGACAGGGTTTCTCTGTGTAGCTTTGCGCCTTTCCTGGAACTCGCTTTGGAGACCAGGCTGGCCTCGAACTCACAGAGATCCACCTGGCTCTGCCTCCCGAGTGCTGGGATTAAAGGCGTGCGCCACCACCGCCCGGCCGGACTTGAGTTTTGTGCAGGGTGGTAGATAGGATCAACTTGTATTCTTCTACATACCAGATGCTGTCTTTTTTCCATTGTGTATTTCTGGCTTCTTTATAAAAAATCAGGTGTCCATGGGTATGTGGATTTATGTATGGGTTTTTGATTCAATTTCATTGATCCCTTGTCGGCTTTTATGCCAATACCATGCCATTCTTATTACTATAGCTCTGTAGTAGAGCTTGAAATCAGGAATCATGGTGATACCTCCAGGTGTTCTTCTACTGTACAGAATTGTTTTAGATATCCTGGGGTTTTTTTCTCCATATGAAATTGAGTATTATCTTTTCAAGGTCTGTAAAGAATTGTGTTGAAATTTTGATGGGGATTGCATTGAATCTGTAGCTTTCTTTTGGTAGGATGGCCATTTTTACTGTCAATCCTACCAATCTATGAGCATGGGAGATCTTTCTATCTTCTGATATCTTCTTCAATTTCTTTCTTCAAAGACTTAAGTTTTTGTAATACAAGTTTTTCACTTGCTTAGTTGGAGTTACCCCAAGATATTTTGTATTATTTGTGGCTATTGTGAAAGGTGTTGTTTTCCTGATTTCTTTCTCGATCTATTTGTCATTTGTGTATAAGAGAGCTACTGATTTTTTTTAAAGTTATTCTTGTATCCTACCACTTCACTAAAGGTGTTTATCAACTGTAGGAGTTCCCTTGTAGATTTTTGGGGTTGCTTATGTATACTATCATATCACCTGTAAATATCAATACTTTGACTTCTTCCTTTCCAATTTGTATCCCCTTGATCTCCTTTGGTTGTCTTATTGCTCTAACTAGAACTTCGAATACTATATTGAATGGAGAGTGAACAGCCTTGTCTTATTACTGATTTTAGTGAAATCACTTTGATTTTTCTCCATTTAATTTGATGTTGGCTATAGGCTTGCTGTAAATTGCTTTTATTATGTTTAGGTAGGTCCTTGTATCCCTGATCTCTCCAAGAGTTTCATCATAAGGGGTGTTAGATTTTTTTCAAAGACTTTTTCAGCATCTAATGAGATGATCATGTAGTTTTCTTTCAGTTCATTTGTATGGTGGACTACATTGACTAATTTTCATGTATTGAACCATCCCCGCATCTCTGGGATGAAGCCTACTTGATCATGATGGATGATCTTCTTGATGTGGTTCTTGGGTTGGGTTTGCGAATAGTTTACTGAATATTTCTGCATCTATGTTCATGAGGGAAATTGATCTATAATTCTCTTTCTGCATTGAATCTTTGTGTGGTTTTGGGTATCAGGGTGACTGTGAACTCATAAAATGAATTTGGCAATGTTCCTACTGTTTCTATTTTGTGGATAATTTGAGGAGTATAGGCAATAGCTCTTCTTTGAAAGTCTGGTAGAATTCTGCACTAATACCAACTGGCTCTGGGCTTTTTTGTTTGGGAGACTTTTAATGGCTGCTTCTAGTTCCTTAGGGGTTACAGGTTTATTTAAATTGTTTATCTGATCTTGATTTACAATCCATTGAGAAAATCATCCATTTCTTTTAGATTTTGCAACTTTGTGGAGTACAGGTTTTAAAGCCTGACCTAATGATTCTCTGAATTTCCTTGGTGCCTGTTGTTATATCCCCCTTTTCGTTTCTAATTTTGTTAATTTAGATATTCTCTTTTAGTTAAGTTTGGGTAAGGGTTTGTCTATCTTGTTGATTTCCCATTTTTCTTTGTATCTTTCCTAATGTACGTTCTTAAGAAGAAACTGAACGCATACAATGAGTGTTTGAAAACTGAATCAGCAGCTGTTGAGCCCCGCCCCCTTAGGTAAATAGCATGAACTACACAAACAACATGCCTTCTATGCTGTGTGACAAGTACTCTTCAATTCCCATTGTCAGCATGCTTCTGGAGTCTGGAATGAGAACCGCCATTGCGCTGAGTTTCTTGAGAGCATGAGTCACATCTCATTCATCACTGTGTCCACACACTATCTAAGCACAGGTAAGAAGCAGTTGCTATGGACAGTATCATATCTCTTCATCCCAATTTACATGCTGAGGCTCCAATGTGACTGAATTTAGAAACGAATAGAGCTTTGGGGAGGTATTAGTGTGACATGAGGTGATGAGGATCAGGCCCCAATAACGAGGATGTGTCCTTGTAAGAAAAAGGAGAGAGTCCAGGGCATTTCTCTCTGTGTAAAGCAGGGAAAGGCCATGAGAGGTCAGAGCTACAAGATAGAGACAGACATACAAGCCAGGAAAAGAACCTTGAGCCAAATCAGCTGACACCTAGATCTGGAACTTCCAGACTCTATACTACGAGAAAATAAATTTCTACATCTAAGCTACCTGATTAAGATATTAGCTAATATCTGATAAATTAATAAATGAATATTTCATGAAATATTCTCTACTCAGTAGCCCGAAAACAAATGTCAGTCTTTAGATTTTTGCTTTCATTGATTTGAGGGCAAGTTTCCCAGAATCATCAAATAACATAGTTGGGCATTATAACAACCCCACTGACATGTGATCTTCCCACCTTTTCCATTTGTGAGCACACAGTCGTGATTCACAGGTCATCAAGATCACACCGTGGAAGAGGCCAGTGGCGAGAAACAGCACCGTTCTTGTCCAGAAAGCAGGGGGATGTGTACGATGAGCACATTATTCTGTAAACAGTCAAGGTAAAATACAGCTGGCAGACCACCTCTCCCGACAGGAGCTGTGTGCCTTGGCAAGAATGCTGTGTACAGTAGGAAAGTGACTTCCTGCAGGGCCGCAATGGAAAGGTGACCTCACAAAGGAAGTTAGCACAGAAATACTCTGAACCACCACGAGGGAAGCTTTAAGTCGTTTGGTTCCAGGCTTATAAAACTGTAAAGATGTTTCAGCCAAAAGAAATCAGATCACAGGCACTTCCTAAGTGTGGCCCATCTACTGAAATGTGTGAATTCTCCAGTGCCTCTCTGCCCCCATGCTCTCTACAGCAGGCCTACAGTGTGGGGAGGGTTTTCTAAAGAGGCCCGGGCAGCAGAACAAAAGAAATTAGTCAGGAGCCACTGGACCTGGGTGACTTCATGATGCCCTGAGCCTTCCCAGCAGAGGGCACACCAACCAAGGACTGCAGGAGAAAGCCAGAGAGAAACCCCACACAGCCTTTCCCTCTGCTTCCAGCTGGAAAGAAAGGAAGGGAGCAAGCTTAAATGGGTTATAGTGGTAATCCATGTCTTTTACTATAGGTATTTGGCCAATACAGCGTGTGCTTGAGAGCTGAGGCCTTTTGCTAGGTAATTGATCCCGAAACTCACTGAATAAATCAGGCTTTTGCAAGCAAAAATTAAATGCATAACTGCATATGGATCTAAAAAAAAGAAGTCTAGAAAAGAAAATATCTCTCCCACTCACCCCTTCCCCCAAAAGACTTCTGCTTTTAAATAAAGATTTACATTTTGAGCAAGCCTGACTCAAGTCACATATTTAATGCGGGTAGAGTGTAATTTTAGAGGCCTGTCAGAAAGAGGGGGTGTGGGTACATCAGACTTATTTGTATTTTTATTTATACTACTTCCCACAGATTGAAATGAAAATTCAGGAGCACTTCTTGGAGCCTGCTGTCTGGAGAAGCGCTTAGCCTACAGCGCCCCCTGGTGTCCATGTGGAGCGTTGAAATTTGCCTCCAGGCAAAAAGCAAGTCACCTCCTAAAACCTGTCTCCAGCATGCTTCGTTTGCCAAACAGTTACTGAGTCTGCAAACTGCCAGTTACTGTGGGAATTGGAACAGAGGTGTTTTTAAACGCCCTGGTTTCCCCGCTCTGTTCTTAAGGACTCTTGTCTAACCGGAGAATCGAATGTAAACTCAATTACAAAGTTACTTAATCCCGCAGGCTACTTCGCCTGGTTTTTTCACTAGAACACAGCTGTGTTGCCTCTCTTCAAGCTGGGCTGGCTCATTGGGCACACGGGCAGGTATCTGGCTGGCTTTGGCAGAACAGCTGTAAGCCACAGGGAACATTCTGAAACTGAGTCAATACCCCAAAGGTACAGTGAAACTGAGGGCAGGCCTTGGACTTGAAAAGCCACGTTAGTCTTGTCACACTAATCTGACTTCACATTTCTATCTGAAAATGTCAATTGCTTTCCCTAGCACCGTGGAGAAAGAATTCTTTACATGTAATCCAGTGTGATCCAGTAAGAATTAAAATGAGAATTCATTCCTTAAGATTACTGAATCTGGAACGGCCACACTGGAGTCAGAGGCACGTTCTTTAAACCTTCTGGGGCAGTCAAGGGAATCTGACATTGTGAACATCTTTCATCAAGGAAAGAGACACTCAGGAATGGTCATGGAGCGCAGATCAACTACAGACCATGAAAACCGTTACACTCTGTCACGACACTCCTGGCTTTGGGCATTTCTTCCACTCCTGTTGCGGTTGCTTCCTCATCGGCCATGAGACCTGGTGTGGGTGGACGGGACCTACAACTCACTTCGGAGGAACAAGGCGCAGGGGAGGCACGTGACTACATTACACAAGACAGCGAGTCCATCCTGTGCATCTCTTGCTGGCTCTGGAAAAGCACCCAGCCGTGCCGGGAGAGCCCATGTGACAAGGATGGCCTCCACCACACCTTTAGAGGCTGACAGTATCACAAGGCATGGGAAGCTGCAGACAACCGGCTGAGGGAGGAAGCCATTCTCGGTGGCACCTCAGCCGGGACAGCAGCCAACAAGGCAAGCTCACTTCACCGACCCATAAAAATGGTAAGTCGGGCGGTGGTGGCGCACGCCTTTAATCCCAGCACTCAGAAGGCAGAGATAGGTGGATCTCTGTGAGTTCGAGGCCAGCTTGGTCTACAGAGCAAGTTCCAGGAGAGCCAGGACTACACACAGAACCCTGTCTCGAAAAACCAAAAAATCGAATCAAATGAAATAAAATAAATGTGCTGATACAAGATGCTAATTTTAGCATGCAATGATGGATGATTACTATAGATTTCAAGATATATTTTTATTTTAAAACATTTTATTATAAAAGTAATACAAATAACAAATGAAATGTCAAGAGAAGACAGAGTTATGCACTCACTGGCCTGCTATCCTACTACGACCACAACTGGTAGTGATTGTCTACTTTTATGGCTTGGTGCGCCATCTGCATCCATGACCATGTTCTAGTGTTCCTGTGTCATTTCTCACTGTAGTATCTTCTCATGTGCCATTCACGGACACCTGTCTACTGACTCCTGTCGGGGATGGCAGAGGCATCCACAGGTTCCACACTCTGAACATTTCCTTGGTAGAAACCTGCATAGAACTGCAATGTCTCTGATAAGAAAGTTTAGGCTAACTACCCTCTATTTGCAAGCAATATAGATTCTTCCACTTGAGAAGGTTTTATGCTGAAAGAAAGCTCATGGGGCTGGGTGGTGTTGGTGGCACACGCCTTTAATCCCAGCACTTGGGAGGCAGAGCCAGGCGGATCTCTGTGAGTTCGAGGCCAGCCTGGTCTATAGAGTGAGATCCAGGACAGGCTCCAAAACTACACAAAGAAACCATGTCTCAAAAAAAAAAAAAGAAAGAAAGCTCATGGGTTGGAACTAGCTGAGACAAGACGAAGCCGGTGATGGCCCTCAAATGCAATCTTTCATTGAGAGGACAGATGTCATCTTCTGAGATTAATATTCTGTAACACAAAGGAAGAAGATCAGAATGCACCTAGTACAGAACGTATGTAAGAGTAAAATTAGAACGATGTTTAATGTAACTATCCCAATTAGGCTATAAATGTACAGAAAGCATATGCTAAACATGTATTACAACGTTACAGAATGTCAAGTAACTATTTTATAAATACTGTTTTGATTAAAACTTGCTGGCCTTTGCCTTTCACCTCAGTCACTCAGACGCATGATGATTTAACAAAAAATACTCTGGAAAATAAGAAAGTCTCCAGAGAACAGGAAAATCAAATTATTTCTTAAAAATGGCTAAGAACACGCTGTTTTGCATAAGACAAGCCAGTTTTCTGAGGACTAAAAACCAAGCCTTTTTCCCTTGAAGTAGAAGCCGAGTGGCCTAATTCATGCCACACCTTTTCTCTTCCATCACTGTTTCCTGTCAGCTACTTCAGAACTGACCTGAGGGTCTGGCAGCATAAATCCATCTGTAAGTTTATAATAGACTATTGTGGAATCCGACTCCACTATGGCCAAAGTGAAAGACATCGGCAGTTCTGGATCACCTTGCAGTTTCCTCGATGCCTTCAAGATTTCCCTTATCCTGAAAATGAAGACAAAGTATGTTGGAGACTCACAGTCACCCAGTTAACGATAAGATCAAACAGTATAAGTTCTTGAGGGAAAAGTACGATACTGCACTCATAACGCTAAGGCAATGTCTGAGGCTCAAATATAAACATCTAAAGCGATCTTCTCACATAGAATGTCCTAAGAAAGACCTACCTACTCAGATGAACTAACTGTATCTGGAACCTACAAAACACAACACTAAGAATGTTTAGTACATCTATTGGCTAAGGACTCCAGATGTTAATTTTTTAGTTTCCCAACTTGGAAACTTAGTATAACAAAGTGGCACTCAGTCTATTATGTTAAATAGCTTGGAGGGCTGGTGTGATGGAACCCACCTGTACTCGTGGGAGGCCAAGGGTAGAGGGACACAGAAACAAGACTGGTTTACATCGAGTTTTAGGCCACCCGGGGCTTACACAGTGAGACCCTATCTCAAATATCTGAGAAATAATGATTAGACTGTAATAAACATGTCCCTTGTCTTCACATAGGGTTTATAACTACTACCTTTGAATATGTCACTCCCCATCGGTCACTCACTGGCCCAACTGTTGAGGCTTTTCCAGTGTTTGTTTGGGGCAGGCAAGGGGGACTCAACATCGATAAAGATGGGCTGCAGGGGCATCTTTCTGATGCGGACATTTCTCTTCAAATATTCCTGGTTAGTCTTTCTATGTACCAGAGTTATTAGACCTAAGTAGAGATGGTCCTATGGTTCTCATTACATAGTTTGACAATAAAAAGCTAAGAGAAAAATAGAAAACAAAAAACAAAAAACATTTAAGATTTGGTAACGGTAGCATTTCAGTTCACTTGTCCTGGAAATAATCCACCAAATCTAATTCCAGGTGTTCAAAGTACTGCTAGTTTTGTTAACTACAGGTTAAAAACCCTTATTACCTACTCAAGAAGGGCTGTGGTCAAAAATTTGGTAAAAATGTAATGTCCCCAAACACTTTCTTAAACAAGTAAATAAAAAAAGGATTAGCTAGCTTATCATAAAGCAAATCGATTTCCAGATTCTGGAAGGTTTATTAGCATACTGACATCTACCACAGAATACACAAGTGGTTCATGATTCTAACTGCATGTTTGGGAAGCATACTTGATATTATATAACAGTAAAGACCTCGTGTCAATTTCTCTATTTAAGTGACTGAATAACCCTGTCCTTTAAGCTGTTTTTTTTTTTTTTAAAGTTAATGGGGGAAAATACTTACAGTCTTTTATATTAACATTCTCAAGATTTCTGACATTTGTTTCTAAACATTATTTTTTGGTAACATTTCCCTGCTCAAAAATTAACTTATTCTCCCCATATACTTTTTGTTTAAACTGTCCTAATACTGCTTTTAAAAATTATTGATTTTATCTTATGTGTGTGAGAGTTTTGCCTACACACGCATCTGTTCATCATGTGTGTGCAGTGCCCACAGCGGCCAGAAGAGGGTGCTGGATCCTCTGGAACTACAGTTACTGTTGGTCAGCGGCCATGTGGGTGCTGGGAACCAAACCCGGGTCTCTGCAAAAGCAACACTGCTCTTAACCACTGAGCCATCTCTCCAGCCCCTCATATTGTTTCTTTCTTTCTATGCCATAAGCTGGTAAGTTTAGGAGTACAAAAAGAATTCAACGAAGACAGTATTTTCAACAAACAGTGCTATAACTTGAAGCTAGTGTACCCCTAAGTCCACATTAGATTATGTAAAGCTGAAATGAAGTAACGGGGCTTTGAAAAGGGTCAGGCAGTCACAGAGCATAAGTACTGTTAACAGTCACTGTGCCAGCTTTCCCACCTTTGGAAAGTATTTGATATCCACCCTTGCCTCTATAGTTATTACTAAACTAAGTATTAACATTAGTCTAAACTACAAGGTAAGCTAGCTATTAGTAGGAGCATAGGAAATATTCACTTTTTAAAGTAGCCGGGATCCAAGAACTTGATTTCACTCTTAAAGGAATTCTACCTCTGTTGAATGACATGACTGTGAGCTAGAGGCCTGCTGATATGCAGTTCAGTCCAGAGATTCAGGTGAAGCCTTAGTGAGGACTTCGTTATTCTGCTTGATGGGAAGGGGGCATGTGATGAAAACCAGCATGTCCATGGCCGACAGTCTTTAATGTAACTACTTTCCTTCTTAAAGGGTGACAGATCAGTATCTAATTAATAGTTACAGAAAAATGTGGTGGGTAGCTGTTCCAGCTTTGACCTGGAAGTACTACTCCCACTGAGGCTTCGGTAACTGTCAGGCCTACAAGGCGGGGCCAAGACAGGAGCCCTTAAGACCCGAGATCCGGGTGGGCCGGCTCTCTTGGTTCCTGGATCCTGGACACTGGAGGTAGACCAAACAGAGTTCTCAAGAAAACACCGCCGGACTGTGCTACACCTTTCCCAGACCCTGTAACCTTTCCCTTTACTTGTGAGTTACCCCACAAAATAAACCTCCCTTTTAACTACGTGGAGTTGCCTTAATATTATAATCAATAGAAAAAGATAGCATTCATAAGCTCTCTACTTTGAGTTATCTACCAAGATGAGAAAATAATAGACTATAATCTGCCTAAATTTTTAGTCATAAACTTTTTTATTTTTAATAATAACATATAAAAATTTTAGCCAGGCAGTGGTAGTGCACACTTTTAAGCCCAGCAGGAGGCAGAGGCAGGTGGATCTCTGTCAGTTCAAGGTCAGCCTGGTTTACAGAGTAAGTTCCAGGACAGCCAGGGCTACATAGTGAGACTTTGTCTCAAAAAAAATAAAATTTAACAGAACCTAGAAATAAAGGGAAATGTCACTATTATAAATGACATGCATCAGAACTGTTTAGCTAATGCAGTTAATAAAAGATAGCTTTTCCTTTCGTGTAGAACAAAGTTCTACATCAAAGGGTTTCTGCTTTTGTTGAGAAAAACTAAGATCAACAGAAGTGGGGACAGCAGTGTTTTCTATGGAGGAAACTACAGTAAGATGATGTAGTCCTTAAGTGGATCCTTAGGTTCAACACGGTCACTACAAACCCCCAACATGTTTCTCTAAATCTTCTCCTATCAGTTTAAAAACTGTGATAAAGTTGTTTCCCAATATGCAACATATATAAAGCCTAGTACATGCCCATAAAAACCCTGTTATGAACAAGCTGAAATTAAGTTTCTCTCAGCATCCCTAACTGCAGGCTGTGATGAGAATAAGAAACAGACCAAAAACAAAAAAACCTCATTAAGACAACTTATACAATTTCTTTTCTTTTTTTTTTTTTCTTTCTTTTTTTTTTTTTTTCCAGAGCTGAGGACTAAACCCAGGGCCTTGCACTTGCTAGGCAAGCACTCTACCACTGAGCTAAATCCCCAACCCCACAATTTTTCTTTAAGATATGACCCACTGTTTAAATTATAGGTGTGTGTGTGCACACGCATGCATGTGTCTGTGAGTGTGTGCATGTTGTGTGTGTATGCACGTGTGTGTCTGTGTGTGCTTCTCCTAAGGTAAAGCAGCGAACCATATGGGGATTTTATATTTCACACTACAGATGAGGATGGAAATTTCCACTTCAGTCACTGCTGTGCTTTGATTCTCAATTGGTATTTGTTTTCAGACTCCTAAACAGCAAAATATTTTCAGGCTTACCCCGAACACCTAAGGTCAGAGAATTAACTCAAGAGTTGTAGAGGAGGTTTTGTTTTCAGAGCCGAGGGAACTTACTGCCCACATTAAATGGAAGTTCCCATTTCTGAGCTCTTGTTTATCCCTCTTGGGGGTGTGGGGGAAAACTACCAGTGCATCTTCACAGCAGACAGCAGACGGATAAAATGGTACCCAGCTGCTACCTGACCACATATGGGCACGCTTACAAAGTTCCTTGTTCAAAATCTTGTCTAGTCTACTCTCAACATGTGTTCACTTACAAACATCATCTTCCTATCAAGACGATGTTTCCTTTACGGTATAGTGTATAAGCTCATAAAATATTTGAGCCAGCAGGCCAGGCAATCTTAGTCTAGTAAAAAACTCGGGATAACAATGGAGACTCTGAGGTTCTACTTTAAAATCACACGTGATTGTTAAAAGGCACTGAAGGGAACTTACTTACTTTTCAATAATGTGAAACCTTATTTCAAAACCAGAGAACACTACATGTGAACATGCCTTCTATGCTAACAAGAAAGATTTCATTTTTTCCACTCAGTGAAATCTCAGGGAGAAAATCTCAACTAAAGGAAAGGGTATGTCAATAATAATCATAGCTACTGATTATCAGTAACAACATTTGATGCTGATGGCAGACTTTCCCTTTTCATAATTCTTCCCAGATGACCTCTATATGATGAAAAAGGGGGTTGGTTTTTAATAAATTGATATAGCCAACTTGACAGCCACCAGCCGAAATCAAGACAAAGCCAACAATACTTGGCTGATGTCCTTAGACCAAGTTAGTTAAGCCTTTCCATAAATCTTAAATTTGATTTTTCTCTACTGATCTAAAACAGACTGGAATCTTGAAAGATGTGCAGTGAGGACAGGAAGCTGAAGAAAATATTACTCTTAAACTAAAAATGTTAAAATGAGATGCACCATGAAGTAAAAATCACATTAACTTCTTCGATCCCCGGAAGTGTCTCCTGTTCTCCTCAGTGTGGCTAAGCAGGGTATCCATGCTGTGGTCCTGTCTACGGAGGCACTGATTCCCATCAGTCTCATCTTGCTGGAACACAGTGCGATCCCACAGTGCAGCTCTGCAACAGCTCACAAGGCACTGGGAACCAGCAACACCAACGAAGCTCTGTTCTTCGTGGGCTCCGTCCTCAAGAAAAGCTCCAGGGAGAACAGGCCACAGCTTTGGGAACCAGGCCAAAACCTCCCAGCTAAAAAAACCAAAATCGGCAGCAGCTCAACTCTCAGCAGATCCGCTAAAGAATCAAGTGCCTGTGCGACTCTTCGCCTCCCTGGGAAGTCATGATGGCAAAAGAGAC